TCACTTAAATGGTAAAAATAAAATTTTAATTTATAATTACTAAAAAAATTTAGTAATTAATAAAATAGTTAATATTTATTATTTAGTAAATTAAAATTAACTTATAATTAAATATTTCTAAATATAATAACTAATTATTTAAAAAAATATAAATTGATAAAATTACATATACAATACAAGTGCTTAACAAAATAAAGGGTGGTAATAACCTGAATCCCTCATCTGGTCCTCAATATGTAAATGGTTAAATTTCCTCTTTATCCCTTATTTGGTCCCAACATCGTATATTAGAAACCAAGGCTTCTCCATCCATCGCTCTGTATAATTTTCCATACTTCTCCTTTTAGTTTATAGCCTTCATTGTTAGAAATAACAGTAAGAATCAACAAATAAGCAAACTTCATATTTTACTTAACCAGCGAATGAGAAAGTGTTGAACAGTTGAAGATAAGGCGTTAAAATTAAATTGCTATATAAATAAATGTAATAGTAGGCGAAACCAATGTTGAACAATTTAACATGTTATTAAAATTATTGATTTTTTTAATTTATGTAAATTTATAATATTGAATATATTTATTAATTTAATGATATATAAAAATTATATGAAAAAATAATATACAAAATTTAACACGTAATACTATTCAATTTTTAATCACTGGTCGTACATTTGTTAGACTCAAATTGGGGGTTTTTCGTTTTTCTTCTTTTTTTTTTTTTTTTTTTTGGTGGAAGATAAAGGTAGTGGACAAAAAGTACGGTTACTCCGAAGAATACTCCGAAGAACTAATGCAATTCTATAATTCTCTAATAGCTAATAGCAAATAAGGTGGATCCTATAGCACCATCAGGTCCTACCAACGAGGGGTTGGATCATAATTAACTTGTTTCAATTTAAGTAAGGTATAAGTTTGAGACTTTATGTATGCAACAATTTTCGTTGGGAGACTCATCCACCATTTTCAGGTGCACGACACGAGTCGATCTAGATTAGTCGGGTAAAATCTCGAATACTAAACAGGAAATCAAAAAAAAAAAATTCAGGTCCATCGGGCCAGTGATATCTATTTATATTGTGGTGCATTTTTCCTTTTCTTTGATGGGTTGGAACTCATTTTCGATAAATTGTTTAAAAACTAAAAATAAAAATAAAGTGGATGCTATAATTCCAGTCGTAATATATAATTCTGCTAAAAAACAAATCATCTAAATAATGAAAGTGAGTTATTAAATTTAAATTATATGATATATAAGAAAAAAAATTAAAAGATAAAATATCCCAAAGCGCAACGTAAAATCGAAAGGAGAAAAAAAACTGCTAGAAAGTAGAACGAAAAATTAGGGAACAATCAGAAAATAATTGCGAATTAAAAAAAAGAGTAATACTTTGGTAGTTTATCAAACACTTTCATGGCATTTTTATCCAAAATCAAAGCAACAGAAAATTCAAAATTATATTATTAAAAACCCAAATCATGAATCACAAATCATTTTTAAATAAAATATTCAGAGAAACAAGAACCCAAACAGTAAATAGCAAAAACCTTCATTTCAGATGAAAACCCAATCATGTATAGCAATACCCAGATAAAAATTTATGCCTAAATACTCCAAATGAAGTAAAATTTATGAGTTACATTGACAAAGTCATAGAAAATGGTGAGGATCTTGGGATGGGGTTACGAATTGTGTCACTCTGAAGGTCGACAGACTGACTATAAAGAAGAAGAAAGAAGCAACGGCAGTGGTAGTTGCCCCGAAAGCTCGAGTGAGGTTCGAAAACCCACATAAGATCCTTGTGTTTTTGAGAGTTTGAAAACAACTACCGGAAATTTAATTTGGAAGTCATTTTTCAAAAAACATGAAATGCATTTTTCATTGACTTAAATTTTGTTCTATGTTGACCAGTTTTCTTAAAGTTTATGAAACACAGGAAAAGACACAAAATATTTTCCTGAAGTGATTTTGTATTAACCAAACGAATAGAGTTTATTTTATGTTGAATGAAATAGAGGAAGGAAAAATGAGAATATATAAGATATATTATTCTTTTATTTCCGTCTCATTCTCCATTTTAAAAATGATGTGAAAAGAAATAAATAAATTTAAGAAGGATTTATTTAATCCGTGCTTTTAAGATATAAATTAAAATATAATTAACATATTTTTTTATATTAATTAATATAAAAAATAATAAAAATTGACATTAATTTTATTACTAATAATACATATATTGTTTTAATTATACAATTAATTAAATAAATATTAAATTTTATTTTTTTAATAATAATTAATATCAAAAAGATGTTTTTAATCCATGCCTAGGAGCACAGATTGAAAAAACCCAATATAAAAATCTCCTTCTTTTCCCCTTACCTCTTTTTTTGTCCTTCAGTATTCCACCTTCCCTCCATTCAAACAGGCACTTAATGTTAGTGAGACAGTGAATTCTTTATGATGACCTTGATAAGTCAGTTTCTCCATCCAACATATTTGTTAAACATTTTAAACACAAAAGAATATGATTATGAGGAGCTGCGTCTCATGATCATATGACTATACATTTAATCATAAGATGGAGTTAGGGTTGAAATCCCCCTCTGCAAAAATTATAATCTATTTAAAAAAAAAGAATATAATTATGAATATTCTTGATCCAATCCACAGCCCAAACTGCACAAATCTTCTCTCAATAAAAATAAGAAAAAGAGAAAAAGAAAAAATGTGCCCATACAAAATACAATAATAAACAAATAGGGTTTAATTATTAATTATTAATTAGGAGTTACAGAAAATTAGCATCTTTAATTAATTAAAATGACTCATATCCCCTAAACAACTCAACACTTAAAAAACATTTATTAATAATATTTAAATAATTTTAAAAATATTACTAATATTCTTTTATTTTGATTATATGATGATGGATAATATTTTTTCATTGTTTATATCACCTTATTTATATACTATATAGGCCCCGTTT